GTGGATACCGGCAGAAAACGTCCTAGTCCAATTGGCTATTCAGGAAAGCGTTCACAGCATCCATCTGAAAGGTCTCGAGGTCGAATTTGGTCATTAGGGCTATAAGCGTGCGGAAGGTCCTCGCGGCAAGCGTGCTGGTCCTAGCGTCCTAGAAATCAGGTGATTGCTGGTCGCCTCGCACACACAATCTAGCTTTAAAGCGCGTGAGATTGCCCAATTCGTCAGATTTATAGTTAAAAACCCATCTCATTGGTATGAATTGGTGCTTTGGGCAGTGTTTCTGGCTAATTGATTGGCCACAGTCTCTCATATGAGCTTGGTCGATTAGATCGGCAGAGATTGGTTCGAAGGCGTGCATATCAAGAAGCTTATTGAATTCAACCTGCATAGCTTGTCTGAACTCGCGCTGGTAGGGGTGGTCTCGCAGATAGCCATAATCAGATGGTGCCGGCGGCAAAGATGAGATTGCTAGCTGCTTTAGTAGTTGCTAATTGGCAGAGAACGCATGGTAGAAAGCAGTAAGGGCGCGATGGCGCTTATCGTCGTGGTCGTTGTCAGATGAATCATCTCTATCGTGCTTGCCTAAAGAGGAAGGTAGGTAGGTTGAGTAGTCGAAATCAGAGTTGTCTATTAAAACAACTGGTGAAGGAGGGCGGTCAGGGACGTTAATATCAGGGTCAAGGGCCTCATCAGATTGATAGGCATCCTTCTGCTCAACTGGCGTGAGCGGTAGGTCTCCAAGGATTTGGTCGTCAGGAGCAAACTGGTCAAGATCGTCCAATTGGTCAACAGAATTACTACCCACACCCCCTTGGCTAGGTTGGTCCTCTAGCAAATCCTCCTGGTTGGCTAGATTAGCCGGTTCAGGCAGGTCTATCTCATCAAGAATTCGTGTGGCAGCTAGGTCGTCAAGGGTGAGCAGTAATTGAGATGAATCGTCAATAATCTCAATGCGATGAGGAGGGATTTCGTCGCTATAGAAACGTGTTTCATCGAATTCAACGTCTCGTGCACGAACAATTCTTCTCTTTGAGGGTATCCAGATTCGCCATATGTTAGATGCATCGTAACCAACAAGATAGCCAATGGCAGCGCGAGGGCTCATCTTAGCTAGTTTCGGTATGTTGTTGATTCTGACGAAGGCTTTACATCCAAACACACGTATATTGGATAGGTCTGGCAGTCTCTTTAGCCAATGAGGGGCTTTATCTCTAAGGTAATCAGCGAGAGCTTCGGATGGAGATTTCCAGTCGAGAGACCGGTGAGGTATTCGATTCTGGATGTAGATAGCAGTGAGAGAGGCCTCATTCCAAAGATAGCTTGGTAGGCCAGCACCCTGGGTCATCTGCCTAGCCATCGCGGTTATAAGCGCCCCATAGCGCTCGGCAAAAGGATTTTGAGATGGTTGGTAAGGAGGAGATAGCTCTAGGTT